CTACGCGTGCATATAAAGAACGTCGAAAACGGATCTCGTATGCGAAAGTTACGGATTTTACAAGTTCGGGGTCCAAAATCCGAGGCTGTCAGGCCCCCACGACGTGGCACAAGCTTGCCGCGACCCGGCAAGTGACTGAGGGCGTCCAATCAATGGAAGATGGTAAGTTTGACTCCCCACGACGTGGCCATACCTTGCCATGACGTGTCACACCCCAGAAATGCCCCTATAAATAGATTTCAAGGGCTCCGAGTTCCATTGCTCAATTCCCTTCTTTCTCGCGCCGAAACTCTGCGTTTAGGCCCCCGAGACCCTCCCAAAGCCCTGGTTTTCACCTTCAAGTCCCGAAGGAAGGTTTTGTGTTCCCGAGATTCCCGAGAATCCCGAGATTTCCCGCGTTTTCAACTCTTCCTGTCGAAGTTCTGCTCGATTCCTCTCTCGACTACTTCAAATGAACCACTTCAATCAAGTGAGTTCATACCCCTTAACTAATGTTTTAAACTACTTTTAAATGTTTAATGGGGGGGATACAAGTAGAATCATGCTAGTATTATATCAATCACATGCGATTAATAAGTAGAATTACGCTAGTTATTACATCAATCACATGTGATTAATATACAACATTCAAAAGATTTGGCTACTCATTAGCCGTTTTACCAAACAGTTTCCTTCAAATGATTTTTATAAACATTTTATATGTTTTAAACTACTTAATACACTGTACATCTTACTCGGTACATTACCTTTCAAACTTATTTACAATTGTGTTTCAATCAAACGTTTCCTTATACTCAAAACTGTTTTATCATACTTATGCCTTCAAATTGTTTTATAGATCGACATCAAGTCGATCTTTTCTTAAAATAATATTTATGTTTCAAATGTCTTACAAAATTTAGTTTTACTTCTTATAAATTGCATTCCCATATATGTATAAATATATAAGAAATGTTTAAAGGGCTTAGGAAGGTTATCCACCCTATTTCCTTTTCACGCATTGAGATGTGGTCTGGTGGGATTTCGGGTAACCATACGAAGGTCGTTTCAATATTAATTATATATCAACTATACATATATAGACATAAAATTACTTCTATACTCATACTCATCAGCACATCATTAGTAGGTTACCATCGGGGTAACACAGGATCATACTACTACAATTTCTAGATCAACGAGTCAGTTCATTCATGAGTCAATACTTATTACTAAGAGAACATATACAACGATACTAGAACAAGTAACATTATATTACATATACACGAATACGTTAACAATTGTGATCCACTGTATGGGAGCATGTCTTAATTGTCATGACCCGAGTTGTAGCCAGAGTCTCTTGGAGGGAGAGCGTGAGTTTGCGTATAGATCTATACTGGATTGACTATCCTACACCTCGCTGCTAGCTACAGCGGGACCGACAGGTCTGCGGGTGCCAAACGTCATACCTTATTTTTTGACTATATGTTTTCGTTGTTACCAGTCGATAGTATGGTGCAATTTATCACATGATACCTTA